CAGAGATTGGGGTGATACGGCCATAAACCGAGGAACGCCTGGAGGCCCCAGAAGCTGGAACAGACAAGGAAGGATCCTCCCCTAGAGCCTCCAGAGGGAGCGTGGCACTGCCAACACCTGCCCTTCAGAGCTGTGAGAAAGTACAGTTCGTCCTCTGAATCCATGGGAGTTCCATGTGGGATTCAACCGAGGATCGAAAATATTAGGGGAAAAAAAAAAAAATCCCAGAAAGTTCCAAAGAGCAAAACTTGAATTTGCCACATCCACGGGAATGAAGTGATGTATAGGCACACCCAGCTGTAGCCTATGTGCAAATATAGGTTATCTGCAATTACTATGCCATTTTATGTAAGGGGCCTAAACATCTGGGAATTTTGATATCTGAGGGGGTCCTCATGGATACCCAGGAGTGACTGTAAACTCCTGGTGTTTGAAGTCCCCCAGACTGTGGTACTTGATTATGGCAGTCACAGGAACTTCATCCAGGTATCCTGGGTGGTCCCCAGCTAGAAAAGGAAACGATGCCATGGTGTCAATCCTGCCTCCTCGCTGTGTCTCGATGAGACCTCGGGCTCAGCATTCTCATCAAGCACAGCCTAGACCACACCCATCTGCCTGCCTGGTTCTGTGGGGGGTGAATGGCCACTTGGTAAACACTGGGTCTGCCCTCTCATTCACGTTCTTAATTTCTAACGTCATTGACAACCTCCACCATTTTACCTAGGACTGCAGTGCCAGACACCAATGCAAAAGTCTAGAATGCCTGTTGTGGCCCCTGGCCCTTGCTGGGAGAATGGTGGGGACACTGGTGGCTTCGTAGCAGCTGTGATGAGGCCAAATCAAACCTGGGACACTCTTCTTGGCTCCCACATCACATAGGGCCCTTCCTACGGCCCACAAGGCCATGATTTGCCTGTCACCTCTCTGTCCCCACCATCTCCCACTCTGCCCGTCGCTCATCCCATTCTAGCCTCTTCCTGGGCCCTCCAGGGCCTTTGCCTTTCTTCCAACACACCAGGTGTGGTCTACCCTACCAGCTTTTGCACTGGCTGTGCCCTCCTTCCAGACACTGGGGCAACAGCTATGTACGGGCAGGCCTGTGTCCACTTTGACCACCAACATAGCCCAGTATCAATGACGGCGCCTGGCACATGGCAGACTTATACGAGGAATATTTGCAGAATGGACAGACGACCAAGATAGAGGGAGTGCACACACAGTACACAGCATTACAGAGAAAAATGTCCATTCTGTGGTTGGGTTACTTAGTAGTTTTTAAAATATTTGCACAAGAAATGACAATCTATATAGGAGAAGACAGAAATAGGCTACCCGTGTTGACACAGGGACAGGCTGTGCAGTCCCAATAAATTTCTTGCTGATGATTTCAGAGATCATCAGGGAAGAAGAGGAACTGAAATGTATTCAGCAGGCGCAGCTTAGATGTGATTTCAGTGAATATGCACAGCAGCCCTCCGCGGTGCCTACATTAGGCCCTCAGCTTGGGGGGATTGGCAGAAGCTGGAGGTCAAGACGGGAAAGACCCCTGTACCCCCAACTCTGTGGAGAGGTTGGTCTGGGGTCCTGTGGATGGACAGACTGGCACATCCAGATAAGGGGTGTTACTTGGCAAATGAGGTCTCAAGCCACAAAAAGACATGGAGGAATCTTACATGCATATCACTGAGTGCAAGAAACCAGCCTGAAAAGGCTATGGACTTTATGATTGATCCCATCTATATGATATTCTGGAAAAGGCAAAATTATGGAGACAGTGAAAAGATCAGGAGTTAGGAGGAGGGAGGGATGAAAAGGCAGAGCACAGAGGCCTTGCGGGGCAAGGGAACTACTCTGTACGATACTGTAACGGTGGATATATACCACTGTACATTTGTTCAAACCCACAGAATATACAACACAGAGTGAACCCAAATGTAAACTGTAGACTTTGGCTCATCGACTACAACAAATGTAACACACTAATGATATGGGAGAGCGTGCACTGGTGAGGGGAATATATGGGAACTCTGTACTATATGCTTAATATTGCTATAAACCTAAAACTGCTCTAAGAAATATAATAACATTATTATATTTAATAAAATTAGCCAAAGACTATTAAAATTACTTATGTGTTATTATTTAATTATTGTAAAATCTTATTTAAAAAAGAAAGAAAGCAGAGCTGTAGACGCCAAACCCAAAGGTGCAGACCTCTGGGCTCACACATTGCCCAGCCCTCACCAGGTGACAACGGTTATGCTATGTCCTGAGACATGGATGCCTCTTGTCTTAAGACACCAAGAGTGAGGGACACTGCGGTCACTTCTACTGCGCTTGTGTCCAGAGGCTCATCCACAGCGACACATCCACGGCTTCCATGGGGTTTGGCCAACAGTGATACTGGACAGAGGACACAGGGTGTTTCCTCCCCCACTGATTCCATAGCGCTGCCAGGTGGCCCCCTCCCCTTGCCTCGATGTCCCCAGCCCCTAGGCCTGCACTATGCTTTGCTGGCTTCCTTTCACACTGCAGCCCCACAAGAAAAGTCCCATCATGAACGGCTCAATTTGGACATGCCATCCTTTTTGGGGACCTACAGTACATGATTGCCGCCTCCCAGATGTAAAGAGTCTATTAATCAGGGCTTTTTGTTATCTATATTCTGATGCTGTTGACATCTGGGGCCTGGCTGACCCTGGAGGGACTGCCCTTCCAAGGGTTAGCCAATTTCTAAAGAGGGCAAAGGACCTGCCTGTGAGTGCACCTTCCTTATGCAGACCAACCCAGCCAGAACCCACACTCTCACTGCTTCCTCTATCAGCTCTCACACTCAGGCCACCATCCACCAGCCCTGATACCTCAGGGCCAGGTACCAGACAACCAGGTACCCTACGCCCCAGAGCCGAGAAGTTATTCAAACCAGCCAGTCTTAAACCTGCTCACTGTGCTTCACCCATTTCTTTCCATGAAAACCACAACAAGGACTCCTGCCCACAGTTGCCTTGTGCTCCTGCTGTGCCCGATGCCTCCCACCTATGGTCCTGTGTGGCATGCCGAGCATCCTATTTCGAGGGAACTGTGAGTATGACAAACTCTCTTCTCCATGGCAGATGCGATAATAAAACCCACATGTTACGGGAAAGGGCCTCTCCTGCCAACAGCCCTGCTCACCTCCAGCACAGGGCCGGCACCCAGGATGGTCCTCTCGACGCCGCTGGCATAGCCCTTTTGGCTCAGGGCGGTGAGGCAGTGGATCAGGAAGTTGGTGGTCTGTGTCTTGCCCGAGCCGCTCTCACCCGAAATCACAATGCACTGGTTGACGCGTTTCCGGAGCATGGCATAGTAGGCCACGTCGGCCAGCGCAAACACGTGCGGCTCCAGCTTGCCCAGCTGCTGGTTCTCGTACATCTTCACGTACTTGGGGTTATAGATGGGGAGGAACTTGAAGGGATTGACGGCCACGAGGATGCTCCCTGCATATGTGTAGATCTTCTGTTGCAGGAAGCGGTGCTTCAGGTTCTTCAGGAGGTTGGCCTCAGTCAGCTCGGGAAGGTTGCACAGGTCATCAAAGTCCGCTTGCTGCCGGGGCAGGAGGCCGCGCTCCACCAGGCGCCGGGTGGCCGTGGCCTGGGCCACCAGCTGCATGTGCACGTACTTGATGGCCCCATCTGCGTCACGCTCCTGCAGCAGGAAGTAGTAACCGTCCTCCTGCGGGTGCTCGTCCTGCGCCCGGCGCGGCCACAGCAGCACGCGGTGCACGGGCGAGTCGTTGGCATCCAGCACCCATTCCTCCCCACCTGTCTCCTTGACCTCCACCAGCACATAGCGCTTGGTACCGTCCAGCCGCAGGCTGGCAATGGCATCCTGGATGACGTCGGATGTGGTGCTGTCCTTGGTGGCCATCACACGGCACGAGGCCTGGTTCTCGCTGGTGGCCAGCTGCGGGTAGATGTGCAGGTGGTAGGCCGCTTGCCTCCGGCAGCCAGAGCTGCCCGCCTCGTTCACACTCATCCTGCCGGCCGCCTAGCTTCAGCATGCCTCCCGGGCTCGGGGCGCGTGTCCTGGAGCTGGAAGGGAGGGGGTGAAATGGTCAGAGTGGCAAGGGGTGGTGGGAGGGGTGTCTGACGCCCACCCAGAACAGACAGCCTCAGACCTGAAGCCTGAATCCCCTGCCCCAACAGGGTTCTTCCGAAAAGACAAAGGGTGGGAGGAGCCTCCATTTGTCCTTAAACACAACCTCTGACCCAAGGATTCTCTTGCAGAGTGATAGCACCAGACTCCATCTCCCCAAGATCAAACCTTTCCCACGGAGTTTGCTCAATCCCCAGCCCCTTTTCCTCCCCACCCAGGGTCAGCCTCTCAACCCACAAGTCCAATAGCCACAGCTATGTCTCACCTAAGCCTTTCCCAGCCCACATCCTTCCTAGCCTCTCCTAGGACAGATAAAACCTCCCATGGCAGCTCCCTAAGCGGATGAATACTCAGCCTCACAGGCCTTGGTTATGTTCCCACAATATACCAGGGGCAGCGAGAAGTGTGAGGGGATAAGCAAGACTGGACCTGCACTGAAATTCAGGGACCCCGAAACAACAGGGTCCCCAAAACCCCAATGAGAAGGATGAAGTCAGTGTGAGCTCCCTAAAGCTCGCTCGAGAGAACTGCTCAGAGTGCATTTGCTTCTAGAACCCACAACCCCAGTCTCCTGTGGAGAACATCAGATAGACACCCAGGCAGTCGGGCTCCCAAGACTGCCAAGATCATGAGATACAAAAAAAGCGCAAGGAGCCATCCCAGACCAGAGGAGACGAGACCACTAAATGTAGCTGGGTTCCCTGGATGAGGTCCTTGACCTGGGAGACGACCTGAGTGGAAGAACTGGTGACATCTGGATAATGCCAGGAGATTGGTTAATAGCAGAGTAGTGATGTCAATTTCTTGGCTGTACAAATGTGTTAATATAAGATGGTCATGATAAAGGAAGGCGGGTAAGGGGTACAGGGAACTCTTTATACTGCTTTTGCAACTTTTCTGTAAATCTAAAATGACTCCAACAGAAAAAGTTTGGTTTTAAAAAATGCATTTGCTTCTAAAGATGTTGTGGGGAAAAGAGAAAATGCAGCCAATGTTGGCAACAGCCAATTTTGTGTCTTGGAGCAAGAGGCATAAATGTGTGTGGGTCACGTGCGGGCTCACTGTGTGCCACCCAAGCATTGCTGAGGATACAAAGATGAACTAGACCTTGGCTCAAAAGCCCAGAGAGAGAAACTGATATGCAAACAAATGTGAGAGCGTATAAATCCCACAGACACATGTGCATGAACACACTCATATGAACACACCCACACTTGTGCCCACATGCAAGCACACAAACATGGACACACGTGTGTGCACTTTCATACACACACACCCATGCTCACATATACACAGAACACACCTGCATGCTCACTGCATACACATGAAAAACACATAAACATGAACATGCATGTGTGTACCATACTTCCACATGAACACATGCATGCAGTTTCATATGGATACACCCACACTCATGCATGCACAAAGAGAACACACATGTATGCTGATGTGCACCAACATGGACACAGGTGTATGCGCAGCACTTTCATATGAACACATGTACACACATATGCACAGAGCTAGCACTTCAGGCAGCACTGGCCCCTGTGACTTGCACTTGTGGAGACATAGCTGATGTGCACCACAATTTCCGGAGGCGTGATCCAGCTCACAGGCTGGGGGCTTTGGACTGTCTCAAGCCCAAGCTGCCTGGATACAGGCAGTAGAGAGGTCACACAGATATGCTTTCTCCTCCCAGCAGACACTCATCTAAGTAAGAGGCCACCAGAGCCCAGTCACCCTGCTCCTGTGGCCTCTGCCACCTGCCCTGATTAGGATCTGGCCGAAGCCTGGAAGGGGTTGAGGGCCGTGTAGCCAGTTGCACTCTGAATCACCCTACGTTCTCCAGGAAAAGCTAATCAGGAGCTCTCAGAACCCCACTGTGAACAAAGATGTGTAGGGGACATTTGCAGCTCTCGGCCCCTTGGTGGGGGAAGCAGGAGACCCTGGGCTCAGAGACATGGCGGCGGGGCGGGGGTGGCAGTGGAGGGCCGTTACAGGACCAGCTGATGCATACTCCATCCCAGATCAGGAGGAAGTAGATAAGACTTGCTCAAGGAGGCTGATGAAGGCCAGCACTGCAGGGAGGAGGATAGCCAAAGAGCAGGGGCGGGGCCAAATCCAGCTGGGGCCCCAATAGGAGTCCCGGCAGGGTCCACTTGATTTCACTGCTGCAGCTGACCCTCTAGCTGTCAGAACACACCCAGGCCCACCATGTCTGATTCCTGGAAAATTCCTCTGCTGGACCTGTCTGTGTGGCCCTCCCTGCCCAGCCTGGCCCTCCGTCCCAGGGACCCGCACTTTCTTCCCAGAGCAACCCCCTTTACCCACTTCCCTGGTTGTTTACCAAGGAGGACCCTTCTATTGAACAGCTCATGTGCCTTAAAACCAGAGACACTAATAAATCCTTCTCCAGCCCAGGGTAGAGGCCGGCCACCTCCTCATTTCCACAAAGCCTGGAGCCAGCCCTTCCGACTCCCACTTGGTCCTCGGTCCACCGTTCCTCCACCACGCCATTTAAACCACTGTTCCCTTCCCCCAAAAGATGCCACCAAGTTCCTGCTAGTCACATCTGCTCCCAGCAGCCTGTCTCGGTACTCCTCACTTGCTCTGTAGCCATGGGGACAGCGGCGTCACCTGGACCTACCCCTGTGCAGGGACCCTTCCTGTCCTGACCCCCAGGCTTTGTTCCTGGGGCATCTACTGTATGGCACCCCCTCAGGGGCTGTGCTCATGCCCAAAGACACCTGCCCCACTTCCAGGCCCCCTCTCCCTGAATTGCCCTAAACACCCAAAAGGCTTGTTCCCTGCCCCTCCCACTGACCACATCCTGTCTGCTGTCACCATGTCCCCAGATCGGCTCTCTTTTCTCACCAGCCAGTCAGGAGGGCCTCCCATTGGTCTAGATGTGGGTGTCCCAGTACAAAGCCCCTTGGGGGAGCCACATGGCCAGTCCTCAGAGCCCCTGGTCATCAGGTCCAATATAGCATGGCTACGTCTCGGTCCACACACTGGTGACTAGCATACTGTGGCCACGCCCCACCCAGCCCAAGCCCAGGTTAATAGGCTAGACCTTGCTGGGCCTCTCTAGCCCAATCAGGGAGAAGCTGCCCAGAGCCCAAACCATAGGAGGGGGTCAAGCTCCCCAGCTGGGATGCATCCCCAGTGGGCTGGCCACCCACCCACCTACCCCCAGACTCTGCCCTCCTCTTCTCACATCCGCATCGCTGATGGGGGACAGCCCCAGCCTGCTGCCTTCTTCTTGTCCTCAGAATAGAATGCCCATGCCCCTCAAACCCCTCTACTGGATCTCACATAGCTCTGCTCCCAGTGCAAAATCTCAGGGTGCACCCTCTTAGGCCCAGGGTCCCCTTATTCCATATGTGGCATCATTTTACCTGCAACATTTGGCTAATCAGACTCTTCACTGGGCACAAAAGAGTGTTTTGTCACTTATGTTTCTTCTTCAACTGTCAGGCTGGATTTTTTTGATAATTATGTCTATTGCGCAGCTATCTTTCTGTTTCTGTAAGTCGTTCATGTCTGTTGCTCATATGTTCCCACTGAAGCACAACTATTGTTTTACTTATTGTTTTGAAGAAGCTTTTTGTATAGGAAAGCTATTATTAACTCTTTGCTATGTTTGATGAAATGAATTCCTATCAATTTACTTTTGCATACGGTGTTTTTTGAGACAAATATTACAATTTCCAGGCAGTCAGATCAGTGCATCATTTCTTTTATGATGTATATTGCCCATTCCACTCCTAGATCTTATTAACGTAAGACTACACCTTCTCTTCCCTTCCCATATTTATTCTTTACATTAAGACTTTATCCATCCGGAAATTATTTTGGAGGGTGTATGTATTCCCTAGGGTCACTGAAATCAAGTACTACAAACCAGATGGCTTAAAACAACAGAAATTTGTCTCATAGTTCCGCAAAAGTCCAAAATCATGGTGTCAGCAGGGCTGGCTCCTTCTGAAGGCTTTGAGGGAGGAATTTGTCCCAGGCTTCTCTCCCGGTTTCTAGTAGCTGCTGGCAACCCTTGGCCTTCCTTGGCTTATAAATGCTTCCCTCTCATCTCTTTATTGTCACATGGTGCCCTTCTCTGTCTCTGTGTCCTTTCCTCTTCCTATCAAGACTCCACAATTATTGGATTCAGAATGAGTTTGCCTTGAGATCCTTTAAATAACTACATATACAAAGACCTTATTTCCAATCAAGGTCACATTCTGAGGTTCCAGGTGGACATAAATTTGGGGGATACCAGTCAACCCAGTCAAGTGTGGGAGGTGAAATGGGGATCCGGATGCTCCTCTCCAAAGAGGGAAGCAATTGTATTAATGCCTTTTATTAAAGAATCCTTCTCCCCCCTGACTGGGAAGCCATATTTGTTTGTTAAACACTGTATATGAAGTTATTTGACACATGTGGGTCTGCCTCTGGGCTGCTGATGCCTGCGTGGTGCCATGATGTTGATGATCACAGCTCCAGAGCTGTGATAATTCATCGCTGATTGTTAATTCACTGATAATGCATCGTTCTTAAACACTGACATCTCTCTTGATGGGGCTTGGCTGTTTTCTCTGGCTTCTAAGCACGCCTTCCTCATTGAATCTTAACAGAACCTGAGATCTGGAAGTTAGACATGCTGTGGCTGAATGTCCTTGTCACAAGTGGACGTAAAACCTGTGCCTTGAGAATCCCCAGGCTATGTCCAGAATGAAAGGAAGCTGGTCTGGGCTGAGGAACCAGGGGCAGCAGGTCCTGGGAGTGGGAGGTGGCAGTGGGGAGACACAGCTCAGCAAAGTGGCCATCGCAGGTTGCAGCCATGTGTCAGGGGCAGCAGGTCCTGAAAGCCTATGTGTCTGTCCTTCATCCAAACCATTTTGCCTAATATCCTTAAGTTAAAATGCCCATTCTGCCCT